AGATAGAGTGTGTTTCTACTTTTTAAGTACAAAGTACACTACAAAGAACAAGCCATCCACTAATTGTAAGTGTGAGCCGAAAAGCAGGTACCACAAGTTTCAGTTTAAGCAGTGAAAGATTTCTTGGGTTTTCATCAAATTCTCTGTTCCTGGACTTTTCCTAGAACCGGACTGTGCATGGCTGAGACTGTCCCAACAAGAATAGTGTAAAGATTAGCCTTTCCAGATCCTCTACATCCCATCGCTGTATGTGATCTCTTGCACCGGCCTTTTCAAATGGTCCTGCTATAAAGTAAGTCATTCATCTGGTACAGAGTGCGCCAAATGTTCTGCTATCATTATTGTATGACCTACCGTAAAAACTCTCATAGAAGCCCCCTCGCCTCTGACCCTTCAAAATATTTATTCTTTTGGGACATTTCTTGATACGAATGGATAGAATTCGCATAAATATGCCAAAATGATCATTGGCAGTAAAATTAGTTGGACGGTTTTCAAAAAATTCAAAAATTTTTGAAAAAAATCGACTTTTTCAGAAAAACTGCTAGAGGCTCTAGGTAAGAAAAGATTTTCACCGGAAAACGTGTCCTACAATCTTTTTAAGCCAAGGGCTATCGTTTAAAACAGTTTTAAAGAAAAAACAAATTTTCGATTCATATGGGAGACCCTTACCTATTTTTTTGACCGACCGATTTTAAGGGGTTGAAAAATAGAAGCACCGGGGCTTCTATTAAATTTTTTTTACGGTATATCTTTTGCCGTTTTGTATTTTAAATCACAATTTTCACAATCACAATAATGTTTTTGTATTATTTTTAACAAATTAGAAAATTTTTACACATGCAAAAGGTGTGGTCAGAGGATGAAAGTCGACACTGAACAGATAATGATCATCGAGCTGCATAAAAAGGGGGAAGTATAATTCTGAGATAATCACTGGCTATGGGAAATCAAAAGTGCTAAGAGCCGCACCAGATTCACATCAGTTGGACAGCTCAAAGTCCCTTTGAGTGGGGCTTGGAGTGAGATTTCGGTGAACGAGTGCGCGACCATAGTTCGAAAGCGACTCAGCAAGTGTATTGAAGCAAACGGAGACATTTTGAGCATTTAATGTAATTCTTTTTTAACCTATATCGTTGTTACATATTCTAAATTGGTTTTCTTGTTTGATTTTTTGTAAATTTCGTTTGAATTTGCGTGCAATGGGATGCGTTCGGTAAGATGATAACAAAACTCTCGGCGCACCCTGTCTCTAGCCCAATTTACTTTTACCAGTTCAAATTTCAGATCATGTTCCTTCTCGGAATCATTGAGATGCTCGGTTTGTTGACCAATTCAATCATGACCGGTTATCTACTGATCAAAGGCGCCGTTTTCTGCACTAATCCAGATTTGATTTTTATTTTCGGAGCTTGGGGCGATGGTGAGATATAGATAAAGAAAAAAAGATAGATTTTTCAGGTTGTTGGTCAACATCGTGCTTGTGTTGCTTAGTCTTGGTCGTAAATCGACTGATGGAGTTGTGGAAGCCACACTTGGTTGAACGAGTGTTCAAAGGTGGTTTGAAAAGGAGCTTATCAATGTATGGAAATCAATGTATGGAAATTATAGAGATTAAAAATTAAAGTTTATCATGTCTTTTGCTTTCCAGAGTTTTTTTAGCTTTTTGGTCATGTTGTAAATTTAAGCCTTATGAATGATTTATTGAATGCATCGCTTGGCATAGGCGGGGAAAATTTGAATTGAAAACGACAAGTTACATAAGCTGACAGGATATCTTTGATACCTTGACTTTAAATAACAATTCCTTTAGGCTGGAAGCTCGTCCTTATCCTCTTTTTCACAATCCTTTACGGAGCCTGGTTTTTCCTATTCAACTCACCAATCTTATTCAACTCTTTCCATTGCTCATGGTTCTACGATCCATTCATTTACTCAAAGCGTTCCAATGAGGTGATATCATAAATTCAGTTGTACTATTCTTAGTTCCAGTACATGACCATTCAAATGGTGATCAACAACCTGTCGCTGTGTGCGATTACGTGCAGTTTGTATACAATTTTATGTGCTTGTTTGGGATATCGCTTCAATCAGCGAGGACCACATTCCCAGATGACTTGGGGACAAAAATCGGTGAATACAGAGCGTTAAATATTTATGGGAACTTTTGAGCTTGAAGGTTGTTTAGCGCTTATGAAAAGATCGGTAAGAAAGCACTGAATTAGAGTTTGGACAAACATGAAATGTTTATGAAAAGATCATTAAGAAAGCACTGAATTAGAGTTGGGACAAACATAAAATGCTCACTTACTTTTACTGTTTACTCAATTTGTTATGCGGAAAGCCGATTTATTGGAATTCGATCACTAAATTATACCTGAAGAGGTCAGACTTAGTTATTCTTGTTTAATGATAAGAAATGCCTCACTATTTATCAGTTTTCAAATTTATTAAACATTGAAAATGTTGGAATCATATTTCAGTTTTGATTCTTTCAAAAAAACTTCACATACGTTTGTGAAAAACTCAATTGATCAGATTTTCGTGCCATAGTAAGCGCTTTCCACGGGAGTTTCTAGACAAATATCAGCCCGAAAGGCAATAATGAAAACAAAATGACTTAAACTTAAACTATATGTGTTTAATATGTTTGTTTCTTTTTAAAGCATTAAATTTGTAATTGTTGAAACAGTCATCAAATCCTTTTAGGTGTTCATCCAAGCCACTGCCATCTGTATGGCAAACTTTGTTGCCGCTGTCACTTACACTTATATGCAAGTACGTACAAATGACTTTTCCTTACGATTAGATTGTTTTTTTAAAAGTTTTTATTGATTTTTACTATTAGTGAACTAATCTAACAGATCCGTGTCACTTTTAGTTTTTTTGGACTCCTCCTTTCTTCATCCTGCTCGGCCACTTTGCGTGGGAGATGTGCAGCGGTTAGTTGGTTCAACTTCTCGGGCACTGAAGCTTCTATCTTTAAGCTAATTAGTTAAATTCAATCAGTTCATTTGTTCCTAAAGACACCTTAATGGGGTGTGACAATCACGGCCGTTTCTAACAAGGGAATTTCAAGTGGGCAAGGTGATCAAATGGCATTTGCTATATACCATTCGACGTAGAATTTCACACTGATTCCGAATATAGTTTTAGTTTTTGCTATGCGCTACCCTATCAAAAGTTATACTTTTGTTTAAAGTTTTATAAGGCATTTTTGAACTCAAGGTCAACTTATGATAAGTTAGTTTCCCAAAGACTTTTTAAAAGCGCCGGTGGCAGTAGGTCGCATGGGAAACAAACATTGACTGGTTCGAAATCTTTTCACTTAGAATCGTCACACTTAGATTGCCACACCTCCTTTAACTTAAGGATTCCCCGCAATCGTCTATGTAACGATGAATCGCTCAGTGCGTCGCGATATCTACAAGCTTTGGAGGTGAGTGAGTGGTGTACTTTGTGCCCTGAATTGTTAACGCATCGATTCTGGTGCACCAAATCCTTTAGTTAATCTAGAAAAATCTTTTGAAGTGCGCACTGCGTTTACATTCTTGAAAACACAAAGTGCTAGATAAATCAAGGGAAATTTCTAGTTAAAAAAATCACGTCTATAAATTTGGTGTCTACAAATTCTATAACAACTAGCAGGAATGGCTTTTACGGCTATTGTGGGCGTGTTCTTTGCACGTCTAGGCAACGCGTTGCCTTTGAGAATTGTTGGAAATGTGATCACTTTTATGTTCCTAAATAGCTTATAAACATCATTGAATATTAGGTTGAACTATACAAAATATCGGCGACTTTACCATGACCTCATTCCTTCAATTCACCATAAATTTTTCTCATTTTTGAGAGTAGATACTAGAGACATTTTCTATATTAATATTAAAATATGGAGCACCTTCTATGGTGAATTCACCAAGAATGGTCAGCTTGAAAAATCAGAATTTCTAGTTAAAAAATCACGTCTATAAATTTGGTTTCTACAAATTCTATAACAACCCAGTTTTAAGAAAACTCAAAAATAAAATTTTCCACCGAACAAACCATAGCTGAAAATCTTTCCCGTACCCCTCAATTTTTTGAGAGGAATCCAAATCTGCAATCAGAATTGAAATCGGTGCACAGAGCGTGATTCTGGAGGGGGTTTTAGGCTGGGAGTCCGGGGTGTACGTAAGTAGTACTAAAACGTACTTCCGAGAAAAACGCCTGGACACGAGCCCCTTTATTTTGACTCCTGCGTTTACTGTCAAAATTTCAGCCTGCTCGCTTTACGAGGGACCGAGATCTGAAAAAGTTGACGGACAGACATTTCGTAATTATATAAAGTAGACCAGCCTAACGGCGGGCTGCTTTAGAAATTGTAAAAATGATTGCCAAAAACGAATTCCCTGTGTTGGAAAACCCCACCATGCAAACTTCAGCGTAAAATGCGATTTCACTCAAGGCATAACGGGTAGCGCGCTCGCCTCACGCACCCACGACCCGGGTTCGACCTCCCCCAGTGACCACCTATTTTGACTTTTTGCAAAAATTTTCAAAGGCACAACTACATGAAATTTCATTAGACAGGTTTTTCAGCGTTTTTTTATAATACTCAACGGGAACGCCCGTAGTGCGCGCACGTACGGACAGAGATTGTTTTATATATAGTAGAGATGATAAGAAATCGAGATCTAAAACTCGAAAATGTTTCAGACAAGTTCTCACTCGAAAGGCAGCCATTTATTCTACCTCATCTAGCTGAAGAGACGGCTGAGAAGTTTTCAAAGTTGTCTGTATTGCCTGGTTTGGAAAATTTTGAAGGAAATATTTGTGGTTCATGAGTTTGGTTCATTTCCTGTTTTCGCTTTTGTTTTTATCGTGTTCATTAAAGATTTTATGCTAGTTACAATGATGTTTCTAGACAGAACAAGTGATGATTCGTTAGTTAAAATCAAATTTTCACAAAAAATACAACGCAAAAATGTTCAATCGATTCCTTTTTATTGGTCAATCTAACGTCTTCCAGGGAATCTAAAATGAACGAGTTAAAACTTAAAAACTGATGAAAACTGTCCGTTTTTTACTAATCTGAAAAATGAAAATTTTCAAGAATCATTGTTTGCTGAATTAAGATCATGGTGAACACTCTTCAGCCACTTACCTTCTCAAATCATCCATCACGTCACGCTTGCCTGGGAACCTGAAAATTATCGTTACAGTGTCATTGATATTGAAAACTCCATCGAAAATCGATTAAAGTTTACCGTCTTAAGTCATCCATCACATCACGTTTACCGGGGAATCTTCTCAAGTCATCCAGCACATCACGTTTACCGGGGAATCTTCTCAAGTCATCCAGCACATCACGTTTACCGGGGAATCTTCTCAAGTCATCCAGCACATCACGTTTACCGGGGAATCTTCTCAAGTCATCCATCACATCACGCTTGCCCGGGAATCTAGAATTTTCTGTTTTACAAGTGTTCTTTATTGAGTAATTGGTAAAGACTTGCCTTCTCAAATCGTCCATTACACGATTTTCACGTTTTCCAGGGAATCTGAAAATTTATCATTTACAAGAGTACGATCAAAGCTGAGAATTTGGGAACATTTCTTTGAAGGACTCTCTACTAGCCTTCTCAAGTCATCCATCACATCCCGTTTTCCGGGGAATCTTCTCAAATCATCCATAACGTCACGTTTTCCAGGGAATCTGGAAATTCAGCATTTAAAAGTGTAGAATCAAAGCTTACAATTAGAAGCTTCAATCGGTAAGAGCTCACCTTCTCAAATCATCGATCACATCTCGTTTCACCTTCCCATCACCTCCCCGTCGGACTCTCGCCTCACCAGCAGGACCCAGTCTAAAAAGCTTGTCATTTTGTTCATCATATTATTATCTTTCCTATACGGTTCCCTTCCAGCTTAGCTATGAATATCTATTGCTTGATCTAGTGGTACTTTTAAAAGATACCCTCCGGCCAAAGCCATCGATACGAGCAGAAGTCCGAAGAGTAGCGATTTCATTTTACCACAACTGAAATGTATACTTGCTTTTGGAATAAAGTTATGTACAGTAGCACAATTATATATACAAAAGTACAGTAGTACAGTAAGAATTGCAGCTAATTTTAAGCTAACTAGGCTGGTTGGCTTGAACCACTTGTGAATGTAACCCTATTGTACCAAAGTTGGCTGACTAAAGAGATAAAAAGTCAATTGGATTCAGTTTTTTTTGGTCCAGCTCTTATACTCCAGTTTTTACCCACATTTAACCTTGAATCGGGCATTGTGCCGAAAAAACCACTCTTTTTTGATAATCCAAAGAGGAATACGAGAAAACGAACAGGCATCTTGCTGGCAAAAAGGAAACTCTAACCTTGAATTGGGGCATTTTAGATTTTAGAACTAAAAAAACGAATTCCAGTACACTATCCGTTATTTATCATTTTCTCATTTTATTTGCCAAGGTCAACGACCATTAATTGAACACTGAGAAATGTGGGGGCAAATTCTAACGGACTTCAAAACTTATCAATCGAAGTGGTAGGTACAGTAACGAATAAAAGGATATCTCCTCCGCTTTTGTGCTTCTACTTTGAGGTCCTGCTTTCACACCTTGGCTTTTGGACCAGCACTGAAAAATGTAGATCTTATGAACTTGTGACTCGACAATGTTGATATTATAAAATCTTCCGTATTCTGTTTAGAGATGATCGAAACTCGAAATTGTGCCATTAAGCTTAACTTCCATTAAGCCCTGGTTTCTTTAAAGCTTTGAAGCATTGTTCATGTGCGAAGAAACTAGGCAACAGTGGGATTGAATTCAAGTAAAACATTGCATTTCTGTAAGTGAACTCCGAGAAACAGCATAGACCGGTGTGGAAAAATCAAGCCCATCCAAAGCCAAGAGTAGAATCTGGCTTTTCAATGTTCGACTCTGACTAATTCTCACCTGAACAGTTCTGTTTTTGGCTTGGATTACAGACGCTAGCTCGATGGAACATTCCTAATTCCGTATCATTACAGCATGCTGAAAATAGAGTGTTTCGGTGTCTTTTAAAACTCTTTGCTCAAAGAGTAAAATGACTTGTCTCGGCGATGGGATGTTCTCCATTTTGGGATACTGTAAGTAGAGAAGAGACTGGACTTTACAATATCTCTAAGTCATAGGACACATATAGAGAGCTATTCAAAGAGCTGTAAAGGTCAGTGAAGTGTTCAAACCCGTTGTGACTTTAGGTTTTTCAAAAATTTGTTTGTAGGATCATTTTTGACTAAAAAACTTTGAAGCTATTGAAATGAAAGTTGGTTTTTGATCAGATCTTCATCCGAGATTGTTCCCTGAAATGAAAGGAGAAAAGAAATATGATCTCTCAAGTGAAAAAAGAGCTCTTTGGCACCTCAAAAATGAGAAAAAAACGGATTCCCGAGCCAAAGTACTCTTTTTTACCATTTAGCCAGTACTTCTTTATCATCTCTTTTTCTACCAAGGCCAATGACCAGAAACGACATGAGGTGTACGTGAGTTTGAACGTAGTCAAGTATTGGGGTTTCGGAGATGAAGTGATCACTACTATTAACAAATTTTTGAGTGATGCAAAAAAAGGCAACATTTCTAAATAAATTATGAAAAAGTTTTATCTTCCGGAAGTCCAAAAGTCGAGCAAAATATGCAAAAATCAGGATGAGATCAGTCGAATAATAGAGTACAGTAATAGAGTACAGTATCTTCATTTCCTAGGCATTCTTGCATGCCTAGGAAATGAAGCTGCTTTTCGGGCGTCAGGTTTTCATGGACTGCACATTGGCTGATTGGCTGAACATTAAAACAATGAAATTGATCTTAAACTTGTACCTTTTCAAAGGTTCTGCCTTTCTTAATAAATTTGAGGAAGATGAGTTCATCGAGGCTATTCATTTCAGATGCAGATGGCATTCTTGCATGCCTAGGAAATGAAGAGGCTGGACTGTATTGAAACTTACGATCGGCAATGTGCGAAATCGACACGTATTCTGATGCTACCAGGCTAGGTCTTATGCTACAGTATTTTAAAATTGACATTTAAGTTTCCAAAGCATTTCATCAAACTCACCTTTCGTTTACTTTTATTAAGCCCTTGTTTCTTTTAATTTCTTTAAATTTGAAGCATCGTTCATGTGCGAAAAAAGCTGGCAACAGTGAGATTGAATTCAAGTAAAACATTGCATTTCTGTAGGTGAACTCCGAGAAACAGCATACAAGGTGCGCCAAAATTGTCGCAAGAAGGTATCACGCTTTATTGAAATTGGCTTATTGAAAAGCCGGAGATCACTAAAGGAGGAAACCCCCAAACCACCATCAATGGAGCTATACTTGGAATGGATTGTTGAGGTGTGGGAGAAGCTTTCAGATGCGATGATTGGAGATTCGTTCAAGCAGTGCGGAATCACTACAGTAATCGATGGATCGGAAGACTAGCTCATTCCTTTTTTCAAAACGAGTGGACCTATCCCGATCGGATATCAAAAGCTGAAGGATGCTCGAATGGATCAAGAAGTTTTGGTTCTTCTTGAAGGACTAGATACCAAAAATGATAAATGCAACCTTGATTTTGATGCACCATTAGAGTTTATTGATTAGGTAGATACTTTATCATGCTTTTTTATTTTTGTTTGTTGTTTTTGTTAGAGTTTAAATTAGACTTCGGCAAACAAAACCAAAACCAAAACAGACCAAAACCAAAACCAAAACCAAAACCAAATCCAAAACCAAAACCAAAACCAAAACCAAAACCAAAACCAAAACCAAAACCAAAACCAAAACACCAAAACCAAAACAAACCAAAACTCAATTTGCATATAAATTAACATGTAAATTTAAAATTGCAAAATGCAAATTTTAATGTAAAATGCAAATTTTAAATTGTAAAATGCAAATTTTAATGTAAAATGCAAATTAGCCTTTCACTTTTCTCACTCCACAAAAATCTCGCGGCCGAAAAAAGGACCAAAACACGACCCCGAAATTTCGAAACAAAAAATAGCCTATGGGATAGATTTTTGGATGCTGATTTCAAATCTGCAAACAGATTTTCGCTAGCTCCTCCCAGTCGCGAGATATTGGCGAGTTTTGGTTAGTTTTGGTTTTGGTTTTGGTTTTGGTTTGTTTTGGTTTTGGTTTTGTTATGGTTTTGGTTTTGGTAGTTTTGGTTTTGGTTAAGTTTTGTTTTCCGAAGTCTAGTTTAAATAAAATTAAAGTTCTTTTATTGATCGAAATGTATCGAAATGTATGATCCAAAGAGGTTCATTTGGTTTACTTTAGTAGATGGTTCCGACCATTAGACCGGCACCCTTTATTACCCTCCAATAGAGCGGCATTCAAAAGGGGTATCGAAAAATAGAGCGTCTAATAGTGGATTTCATAAAAATAATTTTTTCGTGTCATTCTCGTGTCATTCTCGGCACTGAGTGTTTTAACTTCTAACTAACTTCTGAAAAAGTTAAAGCATTAGATAAAATTTGCCTTAATCACAAATTTTCTCTATTTTAGGTACTTGATTTTAGGTTTTTAATGGGACCCATTGCCTATCCATTAACCCATTAAAAACTTGTCTAAAGGCTGGTCACTCAAAAAGTGACCAAGTCACTTCAGCTGAAGAAATCCCTTGTTTTTTATCTGAAGCCCACTGTGATTTTTTTTGTCAAAAACTTTTTGAAATATAGTCAAGTTTATCAAAAAATCTGGGAAGAATTGATGGTTTGGCTTTTGAGAAATTGTCGTGCAAACTTTTTCTACAAACTTTCTTTCCAACCTAATAACTCCTGCCGGAATAACGTTCAGCAAAAACGGAAAGTAGATTCGGAATCAGCGTAAAATCCTGCTTAGAATGGTACAGATTGCATGTCCTTTAGCCGCCAGTTGAAAGCATAAGCCTTGAAAGTATAAGCTTCCCCCAATATTACACGTGGGTAAAACATAAACCGATTCAATTTTCAACACAAAATTTTAAAAACATGCTATTAAAATTTGATGAGAAACCTTGATTTGTCCGATCAAATTTGTTTGATACTCTCGCATTTCGATAGGCGTTTTCCATAAAACACAATAAAAAGGCAACAAATTGCATGAAATCGAAATTAGGGAAAGAAAATAGAGATAAATCAGATAGAAGATCGGATACCGTATTCTCTCTAATAGCAGTGCACTCTTTAATAGTAGTGCACTCTCTAATAGTATTGCGGTCCGAGAGGGGGTTGAAAAAATAGTAGTGCGCACTACTATTAGAGATAATACGGTACTCGTACATCAGAATTCTTCAGGGAATGATCCGGGAAAACGGATGAGCTGTTTCAATTTTGCAAATCTTTGTGAAAAGTTTAATTGCGCTTTTTTTTCTGTTGCAACGTTTCCCTCAACTTTTGATCATTGTAATTTTGCATGACACTTGCTTTCCGGCCCGAAAATTGGCAGTTTTATGAGACGAACGCTTTTGTTTTGCTAAATTCAAAGAAAACTGTCGTTTAGTTGTCTGCCTGTATGTATTGAATATTGAAAAATGAAGAAAGCATGATTACCAATCTAAAAATGAAATAAAACTACTTTTCCTAGCTTTTCATTTTTGAAAATCTATGTAAAACAAAGTTTAGACAACAGATTTAAACAGATTTGACAGCTATTTTCAAGAATTTTTATTTTTCATTCAACATTTGATCGCTCGAAGTGTCTCGGGGAAATCGCTTGGATACTGAAATTGTGAAAAAAAATTGAAAGACATTTTCTTATTAAAATGATAGGAAAAAACAATTGTATTTCTCTTTTTCTGTAATCTTTATAAAACTAATTATGAATTAAATTGAATTGCTAAAAGCTAAAACTGAAATTAAACCAATAATGAAAGAGAGCTTTATTCAAAGTTTTGGATTATCTAAACGCATTCAATTAGGCATTTATCTAGCTTACAAAACTTGCAGATTTACTAGACATTTACCCAGCTTTCAGATTTAATTCCAAAACTTGAAAAATTTCACCCACCGCCTCCCAGCGA